AGTGAACTGCTAACATCTAACTGGTGATCACTCGTTATTTATCGCCAGGACCGACCAAGAAGAAAGAAACGGAAACTTGTTGAAATACTTTGCGCTGAGAATTCTATATTGTACCAAAATTATAATACTGAATAAAGCAAATAATAATAATAATAATAATACAATAAAGGCTTAATCATCAAAACTATCGGATCGGTTTCTAATGCTACGATCCCAACATCAATTAATTTGCTATATAAGGCAACGATTAGGTGCATTCATCTATTTTTTTTTATATTTAAACATATAAACATAGGCACAACGGGGCACCAAAATATATGTGCGCCGATCAATAAAATTGAGGTTGTGAAGGGATAGAGAAACGGAGGTGAGCACAATAAAAAGGAGAATAAAAATGAAAAGGAGTTAGTGTGTGAGAATAATAATGATAATAACAATAATAATAATGGGGGAAGGAGGAACAGTTCAGTTAAGAAAAATACAATCAGAATGGATTGTTTCAGTGAAAGAAGTTTCTCTCACTTAGATGAAGAAAGTAAAAGAAAGTTACAGCAGGATTGCGACTGGCTTCTACTATGAGCCATAATTGTTAATGTCTAAAAAAACTGAGATGTACCATCTATAGGATTCCAACCAGGGAGTCGTAAAGCCATAGTTATGGTTCGTGATCGACAGCCTTCAGCTACGGTTCCCCATTAAAACTAACAAGATCAGCATCAATGTCGAAAATCTTCAAAACTATTTATTTTAGAGAGTATTTTTTACCGCTATACATGATTTCAACTCGTCTTTCAACTTCTTTGGTAGATATCAGTGTGAGGTTGTGGAGATTGAGATGATGAATCGATCAGTGTTAGACCACCATTCAAAACCTGGAAGCACTGGACGACTCTTCAACGGTAATCATCTACGATTCCGCACACAGGACCTATCGGTCTCACGCGTGAACGCTTAATCTCTAGACCACTGATCCGGCATCCAACGGTATTAACGTCTAACTTCGTCCAGTACACAAAAGTAAGACACTAACACCGTTGGATGCCGGATCAGTGGTCTAAAGATTAAGCGTTCGCGCGTGAGACCGATAGGTCCTGTGTTTGAGTCCCAAGTGCGCAGTCGTAGATGATTACTGCTGAGGAGTCCCATACTATGACGAAGTGGCCGTCCAGTGGTTCCAGGTTTTCCATGGTGGTCTAGTTTCAATTAAATCATGATCTCAACTATTAAAATTACTACAATATCCACGAAAACCCCTTCTGATATTAAAAATATCTGTGTGAAAAACGGCTACGTCTATTATGGTTCCCGGTTGGGTTGAGTTAATTGCAAATCAAAGAACAGTTGAGCTATTCCAATACGAACAGTCCCATTGAGGACTCGATAATGGCAGCTGGCAAAAAACACTTCAACAGTTCCCTGCTAACACAAGACGAGAACGAAATGTAAGAAAAAAGATAATATTCTAACAGAACAACCTGAAATGTTACGATTTTGTACATATATTGGCGAAAACATAAACTTTAATCATGTGGAAAGGTAAGCGAATTAAAAGTAATGGCAACTAATCACAAAAGGGTGTGCCAAAAAATTGAACTAGAAAAAAAAACAATCACTGGCGGTTAGCGTCCCTGGTTGGATTTTAATACAACTAATCCCGTAGTAGTAGTCTTAGTGGAACTATATCCAACAATCGTTAGTTTTCTTTGCTTAATATTCATTTCATTCCTGTCTACTTAACATAATGAAAAAGAATGATCATAAATGCTCCTTCTTGCCTTCGCTCTCCTTTACCTCAAAAAAAGAAAAAAAACATGATTACCCCCCGGCAATTTCATCAAAAAAAAGTTCAGTGAATCGACCAACTATCATAAAATAGACTTCAGAAATTAGGAAATGAATAATTTTCCACATATGAACAATTTCATGCATATAGTTCCTTTTGAAAAAGTTTAAAAAGAATAAAAACTAAGATTTTAGCTAGAATTTTTGTTAGACCACCATTGAAAACCTGGAAGCACTGGACGCCGTTTCGTCCTATTGTGGGACTCCTTATCAGTGCGCATCCACGATCCCGCACCTGAGGGATTCGAACCCAGGGCCTTCAGTCTCGCGCGCGAACGCTCACTAGTGACTAGCTCGTGAGGAAATTCTCGGAGTTCTGGTGAGAAGCCGTGACCAGTGGAGCTAATCCGTGTCGGGTAGGTATAGGTGTCTACAATGGAAGATGGTCGCGCAACTTCGTGGATTGGTTGGGGTTAGACATCAACACCATTGGATGCCGGCTCAGTGGTCCAGTAGGTTAAGCGTTCGCGCGCAAGACTGAAGGCCATGGGTTCGAATCCCCTAGGTGCGGGGTCGTGGACGCGCACTGTCAAGGAGTCCCACAACATGACGAAACGGCCGTCCAGTGCTTCCAGGTTTTCAATGGTGGTCTAACATCAATCGGTTCATAATCTCAATAAAAAAACTTAACAATCTCCACAACCCCTAAACTGAGAATCTTTGTTCTTGCTCTTTTCGAATTAATACAGATGATAAACTATCATGCCATAGGGTAGTGTGGTCACACATATATATGAAGAATACTTAAACTAATCAAGAAAGCTTGCGATTAAATGATTGTAATGATGTAGATTACATAATGAAACACAATAAGTCAAAAGTAAACTATGATATCATAATTACTAATAAAACATAGTTTACCAAGTTACTAATGGGATATGAATAATTGCTAGACAATTGTGAAGAAATTCTAATAGATTAATTGTTTTGAAGCTTATGTGTTAATGCTTAGGAACAACACTGAAGGTTTTATATATAGTTTATCTGCATGAAGAACAAGTGTAGGCTACGAATATTTCTCATTATCCTAAAGGTTATTTTATTTAAATCTTCGATTATTAGTAAGGGTTACTGATCTCCCATTATTTATATTCTAGACTTTAATTGTTCGTGTCTTCTTCCTATATGTGTATGTTGAGTGATTGTTTTGGCATACTATTATATCACAAGTCTTAGTTATGTGGCTACCAGTGGAGTCCAGGACGAGAGTTTTACTTCGTTTGTAACTTATCAGTTGGATGTACCTGCAAACACTATCGGTGTTCACTCGAACCAAACACTCTCAGCTTTAAATCTCATGTTATCCACTGGTACATTCAACAGACGACTCCAAAACAGGACAAAATGGGCGTCCTGGATTCCAGTACTAGCCACAGTGCGTTTGTTGTGTAAAACTGGTGTAAACATAGCTATATCAAGACAATTAGGACAGAATACATATATGCCAACAAAGACCAAACAAAATTCTATCGTAAATACCATTTGTAGTGTGATCCAAGCACTAATTAATGATTATAAAGCTCGTGCCTATTTGTAATGGTTGATTGAATCTTTCCATTGATGTTTAGAACTGCAATTGGCCATTCTGATTTTTGACATATATGCATTCTGTGTGGATTGCCTCGAAATTATCATTAAGTCACAAGCATGATATGCAAGAATAGACGGTAGCTAGCAGTGGAATCCAGAGGCGCGTTTCGTCCTATTTGGGACTCGTCGTCTAGATGTATCTACATTCCAGAGTTGATGTTTGCTCTGAGATTTGCAGCGATTTTATTTCATGAGTACTGGCACTCGCCAAGTAGAACCATGTAGTGAGCAACAGTCTTGTCCCACTATGGGACTCATCAGCAGCAGTAAGCACACAGCTCCTGCCATCTAGATATTTCAACAAGTTATCTATTGTTGTTTGTTTTAATATATCATTATGTTTATTAATCGCATAACCTATTCTGCTGCGTTTCTGAAAAGTGTACAACCTTTCGTTGTCAAAGTTACAGAAAACTCAATAAGAGACAATATGGTTGCTGGCAATGTACAACGAAAAGAATGTACATTATTCAGTTGTTCATTCACTGAAGTGCTAACATCTAACTGGCGATTCCCCAATATTTATCGCCAGGACCGACCAAGAAGAAAGAAACGGAAACTTGTTGAAATCTTTGCATATTGTGCGACGACAGAGACCGAACCCGTAACTTCCTGTCACGACAGTGATGTCCTAATATTTAGACGATTGAATCGTAATCTAGTGATTAGAATTGCCAATTCTAGTCAACTCATGCTATAGTGCTGTTGGGAAGCCCTTGAAATGAATCTAATTACTATGGTAGAGCGTTACAAGTTACTCCGTATGTCAAATCACTCAGGTACTGTTCATACCATTATCACCAGCATTCGAATTAATGGTTGAAATACGAACAGTTGCGGACACTTTTTTAGTAATGATAATAATAACGCTTTATTACCAGAGAAGTAAACTACACTGTATACCTTAGAAAAAAACAGATTTAAGTAACACTTCCCTGGCAACTGGTCAAGTTTTCAATAACAAACACTATACACTGTATACCTTTCAAACAATGAAGTGGCTGCTACTAAGTTCCCAGGAATATAATAAACATGTACACTTTTTTTCGTGGTTCATATAAATGTTCAAAATAGGCGATGGACAAGGCTGGTAATAACAAACTCAAATTCTCTGACATGTAGTGAAAAGCAGTTGTTTATATAAAACGACGCATAGCACCATTAGTGGTTAACCTACAAATACACGTTAACTCCATTCAACATAGTACAGCCCAGACTGAAGACCACATTCATGAGTCAATTCTTATGGAGAATCGTGCAAATTATCATGTTGACCGTACATGCTAATCCAGACTAACCAATAGAAATAATGGGCGTTACCATGACATTCACAATCCAGTTTTAACCAATTAAAACTCAATGTGAGCTATTCGGATACGAAATGAACAATGAAGACACGCATTTAACTGCAGGCTTTCCTTTGAGTTAGGGGAGTGGGTCAGATAATATGGGTAACGAATCAAAATTTAGAGTTGAGGTACATGTTGTGCTATCATCCTGTCTGACTGTATATTGTATGTGTATCCATATATGTCATGTATATATATTGACTGTGTGATTGTTTGCATGTGATTGTTATCTGTCTGTTACATGTGTACATGTGATTGGGACAGTCAATTTGGCCTGTGAGAATTGTTAGTTTTATTATTATTGTCCTGACCAAAGAATTTTTGGGCGTGAAATTCTGGGGTTTTTTTGCGTCACCAAGGTGGTTTTTTTTGCTGCTTTCGCTTCTGCGACATTTATTTGTCGCTTCAAAATCTCATCTCAGGAGTAATCAATCATTACAACTAAGTCGTGAATTAACAAAATAAATTAGGATTAATTAATCTATACAATGATGATGATGTTGGATCATCATTCCACTGAACATCATAATGGTTTAGATCCGAAATCCGATACAGATATTGGGATAGTTAATTCTAACATATTATGTGAATCTAGACGACCAAATTCTAATATTCCTAAAGTAAATGGAGATTTCACACATAATACTTTTCATTCTTCACCAACATATGTTTATCCACTTGATCGACATTCCGCTCCAGCATCCACAAATAAATCAATTTCACGTCAAATAACACCGAATGATTCATGCCATGAAAGTACTTTACGTTTGCATGGTAAGTCATTATTTCCATTTTATTTTTTATGGGACATTCAATAGAACGACAAAATTTTTAGTGTTGCTATGACGACTAACTTTCTCACACTGTTTGATTGAATTATTGAAGTACTGTGTACACTTTTGAATATATTCGAATGTAGTTGATTATATTTTGTGTTGATAGTAACAAAATTATTCCTAAATATCAACTGTCACCATTACGTTCTATGCGACACTGAACTACCAGAGTTGTTCACTAGAGATCTCTAACCTTCAAGTAACCAATATGGGACATAACCTATTTTATATGAATGAATTACCAACTAGTTGATACACTAATTCGTTCTGGAAATGAAGGTGTCTATATTAAATGTAGATCGGCAGCTATCAGTTAAATCTTTCAATTTTCAACCATTGAATCCCCTACCATCAACTTTCACATTTAGAATGTTTACTTGAATTCACTTATATTCATCTGCATCTGCATTATAGTAACTATGTTTACAATAACTGTGTACGATTCCCTATCATAGACTGTGAATTCACTGATCTATTACTATTCACTTATAGACAATATGTTTCATGTATCTAACTGAGCTGATACACATCACATAATTATAGTGGGAGCAACTAACTTAACACAAAAATGACAGTTTCTTAGATGAAGGGATAAATGCCGGGAAATATTGAAATAAATCCAAGATAAAACAACTTCATTTATACCAATTTCAAAAGACAATTGAATACATTTACCGTGGTGTATAGATTACTGAAGTGATATGTGTATATTCCGTATATCTCCAAACTAAAAAAAAGGGAAACATTCACCGGCTAGTGTGTTTACTTGTACAATCGATTCATTGTATGTTTGTATGTTTGGATGATATTTTAACATGCCTAAAAAGTTTTCAGGTTTTTTTTCTTCTTTTTATAATCATGTTCTTTGCCTTATTCTCACAAGCAAAGGAAATGTAGATTACAATCGTGTACATAAATCTGTAGGTGATAATGGAGTTGAATAAATTAGAAATTCTGATAGATCATGTATGTTTCGGTTAACAAGGCATGATCTATGTAAATAATGAAGTAACTTTTACAGGGAAAAATATACATTTCCTGGGTAATAAAATTGTAACCAAGACTCAAAACTGCTAATATAACTAGGTATTGATTTTTTGTGCGCATGCGTGTGTGTGTGTGTGTGTTGTCGATATGGTCACTGATTGATGAAAACAAAAGTTGTAATTAATGTTTTTTACTCACTTTCAATCTCATATTTCAGTTTATTACTGTTAAGATATTTGTTGTTATATTAGGAGCGATCAGTTCTTTTCAGAATGACATTACATCGATACTTTGAAGTTGTTTGGGATGCATGCTTTGAATTTATTAGTTTATTAAATGTCCGGCGCTTTAACCGGGTTGGTGGACATGGAGAGTTGGAAAACCCTGATTCCAAACCAATTGTCCAAATGGCCTCCAGGATCCTGAAGGAACAAACGGAGTATGAACCAATTGTTGGTCACCGGCTACCATGGGACTGTATCTCCTTACGATGCTCCACTGCCATGTGGATCAGACCTCCAGGTCGAAGGCTCCAGATGTGACCCTCTAAGTAAACCACCCGCTTCTGTTTGAGCTCCCGAGCAGTATCACAGTTCTCACACATATCAAATGAGATCTGTGTGGTGCATATATATTTGGTGCCTCTTTGTACCAATATCTACGTGTTAAATAAATAGTTTATTAAATATGATCATAGTTGGTTACTTGTACTTACTGAAATGTATACAGTTTGTTATTTTCGCTTGTGTGTTGTAGTTCCTGTATTCACAACCGTTAAATTATGCCTCATAACTCCACTTCGGTGCTAGGTGGTTTCAGGTAGTTGTCATTAAACAATGTATATGTGGTTTGATGCTACTTGATATTCATCACCATAGCGTACCTGAAATGTTAAAGTAAATTATGTTCTTAATGCAATTCTTAGCCTTGTCATTCAGTTTTACAGTTTGAGACGTTGCTATTATGATATGCTTCCAACGAATGACTTATTATAAGGCTAAGGTATTAAGACTGATTGGTCACTAGCTCTACTCCAGTTGTGTATGACCAATTAACTGGTTATTTTATGATAAATGTACAAATGCTGTTACGTGATAGTTTTGATTTGTGTGTTTGTGTGACAAGTATCAGTTATTGGTTGTTAGTATATACGCAATATTATAAGTCAGTCAATCAGTCGGCTTAAACTGAAATCCTAATCAAGTTTATTTGAATTCGTTTGTCACTTCTGCTTGGGTTTTTTTTTTCAAACTCTAACTTCATACCTGTTTTGCATCCATAATTCTTTTTTAGACTCAATTTTTCTTAGTCGATATTCGTACTCAGTTTCAGTTTGCATTAGTTCAGTAACATATCGATAGTATAATAGTAGTTCTCTATCAATGCTAACCGATGTTGGAGATGGTTGGAAGAAAGTTAGGGGTGGCCAAACCAAAACATGGGATTAGTGCTTGAAATCACTAACTTCTAATCTGAGCCATGTGGGAGATGCAGACTACTTGGTTGTGGTCCGCGTGACTATCGTAACCAATGGTTGAAGACTCTGGATGATATGGCTCAAAATAGACCACGATGGTATAGGTGTATACAACACTCTCTGTCTTCCCTTAAACTATGAGATTAAAACTGCTTCATATCCTTCTTTCTACCAACTAATTCTTTCTTCCTGTACTATATCCTTATATTTAATCTTTCTTTTATATATTACCACCTTTGAATTAACACTGCTTTTATGAATCCGGTGTTGATCTTGTTGTGTTAATGAGGTATGGCAACTTGTACCGATGCATATATGTGCCTGGTCCTACGTTGTAGCTGACTGACTGATCAATATAATTTATTAGTTTTAATGATTACATTCTATTCTCATGGTTTATTCCATGCATTCAACAAAAAATGTTGAAGAACATAATAATAATCTCAGCAATAGAATGTAAGACTAGTATAGGCCGTAACAAAACGTGATAACAATCCATTCTATTGATTGACTGCTGATTTGAACTAGGTTGTTTAATATATTCTACTTGCTTAGGGTCTGCGATGATTGCTATATATGGCTAAAGACGTTAAGCGACATTGCTGGTAATCAGTCTCAATTGGAGGGGGGATGCATTTACTCTTTTTCTTCCCTTAGATGTCTTGTGTTCAAAATGGTCTTACGTCATTCCATAAATTCATTGTATTTTTCACTTACTGATCCTACTACTACTACTACTTTGATATATATCTTGTTAATTTCATTGCTCTACTCTAATTTAGTACAGCAATGTAGACCGGTGCACATATGTACCATGTTCTACATGGTTCCTTATAATCTGACTGTTATGATTGAGAATCGACTAATTTGTCAAGAGTTATTTTCATTTACTCACTTTTTTTACTCATATTTCAAGGTTTGGTTTTACACCTTTTGATGTAGTCCTAGTGATGAGTTTCTCAGCAACTTTCTTTCGTTTCCTATTGAAGAATTATGATTCAACTATATTTATGAAAGTCCAAATGTGCTTAGTGGAATGGAGTCTCCTATATTCCAATGATATCATTTTAATGTATCTGAATATTTATGACTAGAAATTAGGAAAACACCTCAACTACCATAAGTCATTGGGTTATTAGTTCTATGTCTAATCAAGAAGGTTTTTCAAAGAATTTGTTGCAGATTATTTCAGTCAGTCAGTAACAACGTAGAACTTCGTACGTACGTACATCAGTTGGAGTTGCCATACCACATTAGCACAGAGATGCAGTTGTCGATTCAAATCCCGTGGTGGTAGAGGTAGTAAAAGTATAAACAGTAGTCGGGAAGATTAGGGTTTAGAGTTGTTATTTAAAGAGTATAATCCAGTGAAATAAATTTGGAAAGAGGGAAAAAGGGACATGAAGAATTCAGAAGATTAGAATTTGGGAGAACACAAAGAGTGTATGCACCTGCGCCATTGCAAACGATTTTGAGCCATGTCATTCAAGGTTTCTAACCATCGGTTACTATCGACTGGCGGACCTCAGCCAGGTAGTCTACACGTACCAACATGACAGAGTCAGTGACTTCATGGACTTGTGCTATGTTTTGGTCGACATAACTCGTTTACAAAGTATGGATTTATGAACTGAGGTTTAAGCTGCAGTTTTTTGTATGTTGACGAATTACTGATGCTGTCCATTTGCCTGAACGAAAATAAATAGCATTTGGTTCAGATCCACGAAATGTTGATTGTGAATTGAACATGCTAATCACTAAGACACAGTTACACATCAATATTTACACTGTATGGAAACTAATAAAATGCAGGTTTTCCAACTATTTTTGTATTCATTGAATATTTCGATATCCTTGACCATCATTCATTCATTTCGATTAGTAAAACGGCCTAGAACCCTCTGATTATTCAAACCTAATATAAATGGGGTTCAATTCATTATTTTTTTTTGTTTTTCATACTCCATTGACCTGAACATTTACAGGTCATATACAAGGGTCTTATTCATTTTTTTTTTCTTCTTCTACAATTTATAGTGTGTTGACCGTAGTCAAAAACCTTATAACCCAACCATTTCATTCATATACGTTTCTTTGTTGTCCCATTTTCTAATGTTTGCCTCTTCTCTCTTTTGTCTTCTTTCTGGTGACCGATTTCTATTTATAAATATAATATATGTCTTTATTCATTTGAACTATGTATACAATTATTGAATAGTGCCTTTGTTCGTCATTCTATCTATCTAGGAGGAATCTTTGTTCTAATTCCCTACCCTGTTTTTTCTTTATTGTTGAAGTGCTGAATTAATCCACAATGCATTAAAATATTGTATGAGTCAAACCGGTTAATCCAATCCCCTGCCCCCAGAATAATCAATATATTGGTGTATGTATATATATATATATATACATTAATAGATGTGCGTGCGTGTGTATGTTTTTTTAAAGTTAACATGGCAATTGTCTAACATTAT